CCGACTTTAATGAAAAAAGCCTCTCCCATTCTCGTCTTGAGCAGGGACATATTGACCAAGGGTCTAGCAGACTTGTAGACGGGAAATTGGTAAGTGTGGTTTATCAGATTGCATTCATGAGAGCATTTGTACAAAATCTACACTAAAAAAAAGTAAAGCACCAAAGCAGTATTTAGTGATGGCATATTCATGATCTAGTGTGATTAGTAGAAAGTCAAACGGCATGTCGATTGCTCCGAGCTCCTTGATAAGCGAGCTACGGGCGGCATGGCAGCCTGGACCGAGCAATCGCAGGGTCGGCAGTGGCTGGAGGCGCCTGGAAATCACGACTCCACGAGGGGCTTGTGGCTTATGCACAGCTCACAAGTCCACAAAAAGTGGCTTGTTTTGTGTTCGGTGTTCCGTGGATCCTTGCATGTGCCCGTCATGTTCCCCCTTCCACACCCAGTTTTCTTTATCCCAAATCCAGGGCACAAGATTCCATCCATGCGCATCGCCCTCCTGCGTCATCGTCAAACCGCAGAATAACGGCCACATTGGAGATACTGTGCGACGCAAGCGCTGCAACTCCTTCATCATTATGCTGCCAATTTGATTGTTTGCTCGACCCTCCCCTCCCTATCTACGGTGGCTGGTGCGCAGATGCGCAGGCTGTAAGAAATTTCCATCTCACCCTGCTGCCTCCCGGCCCCTCCTGACTACTACCTTCGAACCTCATCTGCCAGCCTGAAATCCTCCTGATGTCCTACCAATATCCTATCCCTTCCACTCCGAGAGTTATCTCACCTTCCCCTACCCCTTCCGAGTCCTCCGAACGCCAGGACTCCTATTTTGCGCCTGTCACACGATCGGCCGCGAAAACCCGGCGACAACGATCCCCTCAACCAGACCCCATAAATGAAGAGAAGGATGGGTCCGGGTCCGACTCAAGCCTGGAGAAACGTGCCAGAGCGCGCTCTAGAAGTCCCATCTTGACCGCTGCCACTCACATGAACGGCTCGGCGAACACCAGCAAGAGGAGACGCATGAGCGGCCTCACTTCGATAAAACCGGTCGCTAAATCAGAACCCCTGACAAATGGCACCATCCCATATCCACAATCAAACGGGCATCTTTCACCCTATGACCGAGTCAAGAAGTCCTGGCGAGAATTCTCCCGCTCTCCTTCACCGCTCGGCTTGATCCCACTCCACCGCCACTATCGAACGTTGATCCACAAGCATGAAATCCCCCGGAAGGTCCTCCACGTCTCGATCGGGTTCTTTACTCTGCGCTTTTTTGTGACAGGCGTACAAACCTGGGCAATAACGCCGTGGCTGTTGGGCGCGCTTGCCATCATCGCCCCAACTGACATCCTCCGTCATCACTCTGAACGATTTAATCGATTCTACATCTCAGTGTTGGGTGCGCTGATGCGGGAAACTGAGGTGGATGGATACAACGGCGTCATTTGGTATTTGGTCGGAGCATACGGGGCGTTGCGATTCTTCCCTAAAGACATTGGGGTTATGTCGATTCTTTTGTTGTCCTGGTGTGATACTGCCGCCAGCACTTTTGGTCGGTTGTATGGACGTTATACCATCCGCTTGCGCAAGGGCAAGTCTCTGGCAGGCTCCCTCGCCGCTTTTCTTACGGGTGTGCTCACGGCTCTCTTCTTCTGGGGTTATCTGGCTCCGAGAACTGGCCCGTTCGTGGACGACCCCATCCAACCTTATATGTTCCAAAACCGTTTGACCCTCCCTAGTCAAGTGAAGGGGCTCCTAGGCTGGGAAGCGAACCAGGGAGTTATTGTCGGCGACGCCGCACTCGCAGTCATGAGCATTTGCACGGGGCTTATCGCCAGTCTCTCTGAATTTATAGATCTCTGGGGTTGGGATGACAATTTGACCATCCCGCTCCTCAGCAGTGCCGGTCTTTGGTTGTTCTTGAGAGCGTTTGGGTAAATCATTCGTTGAGCCAAGGCAGGACAGTGGCGTATGGACAGGAGAATTTCTCTTTTCGAGGGGTGCTTGTCCGCCTTTGATGCGAGAAAATTAATTGAATACAATGACGACCTCACACAGATTTTTACGCTTCCAGACTGCTAGAGGAGACCGTTGTCCGCTTGATTTTCAGTATAGTATCCTGGACGCATTATTCGTTCCCGCAACCAAGGCCTCCGAACCTTCGTGGGCCATGCTTTTGCCCGCTCCGCGCCGTGCCGATGGAGACAAATCACATATCATGTCGGATATTTGTCACAAGGTAAAATGTTCGTGTGGAGGGAGCATGCTTGCTAAACATCAGCCGAGTATGACAGGACGCAAGTTGGCGAAAAGTGTCGGCGGTTGTCGCCCAAGAAGTACCCCAGCTGTTCCGTGACAATCTATGCATGTTCGACGGCGTCGAGCGGCTTCAGCAGACTCCAGTAGCTTTTGTACAAGCGAACTTACGCAGAGGATAGCGTAGTCGAAAGAGACACATCACTTGCTCGAACCTGCCTGTCTGGGTGGACGATGTCTCGAGGGATAGCCTCTGGCACATGGAGATTCGTGCGTCGCTGAACAAGGACACTCGGCCAGATCATGAATGCACGGCGAGTCCGGAATAATTTGCTCAGATGATGTTGCAGACGCGATCCTGCCGACAATATCAGGCGGACGAGAGCGATACTTTTCTATTCTGCACCTCGCAGACCTCGTATACACACGCCGTAAGTCGGTTCAGCCTCTTTCAACCCTCGGCGGCGATTCTTGGCAAATGTCTCCACCAACGAGGCTGCAGCCCCTTGTGTTTTGTGCTTGAAAGGCTTCATTCAAACGCCAGCCAGGAACGGGGGTTAGAGACCGACAAGCATTGTCCAATGATGACCTTGGTTATTGACCTACCACGACAAAGGCATAATGACCTCGGATCACCTCTTGGCTGGTGATGACTTTGGAGACTTTTGCGCCTCTCGGCATCGACCTTGACTACCGGACCAATTTCCCCGCAACGTTCAACGAGCCCCGAAATTGCCGGGGTTAAAGGGTTGGGTGACACTATACCGAGTACTACTCCGCTATCTCCAACACTGATTACATTGAAAGTTGAATGATTTTTGACAACGACGAACAAACACGCCTCTTACCCTCCTCTATCAAGTGCTGATTGAAGGGGTTTAGAATAGTTTGTGGACAAAAAGATGGCACCGGGCGCCTCGATCGCGTTGCGGGCGCAACATGTCTCCCGAGGTCTTGTTGCGAGGCCGTCATCATTTTCAGTCGTCCAATCGACAATGTTAGGCCGCACACGTCGCACAATCTCCATCTCGCGGACAACCCCCGCCGCCGTCGCCACTCAACACATCACCAACAGCACCACCACTCCAAAAGACCCGCCCAACTTCTCGCCCGAATTCACCTACGGCGCGTACCAAGAGACGGGCACGCGACCGGTGAAACGGATCCGCTACCCAAAATTCCAGTCTCTGGAGAGCGAGCGCGCGTTCCGCAAACTGCACCACGCCGCGGCGCTGCGGTGGCTGGGCTACCAGGGATACAACAACGAGGGCGCGGGCGGGCACGTCACGGTGCGCGACCCCGTCCTCCCGGACCACTTCTGGATCAACCCGCACGGCAAGTCGTTCTCGTACATGACGCCCGACGACCTGGTCTTGATGAACCCCAAGGGCGAGGTCGTCGAGGGCGGCAACATGCACAGCGTCAACCCCGCCGGCTGGGTCATCCACAGCGCCGTGCACGAGGCCAGGCCCGACGTCGTCGCCGCGGTCCACTGCCACAGTGTGCCGAGTAAGGCCTTTTCCGCGCTCGGGTGCCACCTGGAGCCGATCAACCAGGACGCGTGTCGGTGAGTTTTGTCATTCTCATCTCAAGCAGCGGGTGAAAGAAAGAGCCAGCCTTGGGAGGATGGAGAGGGGAGGGAGAGCAAGAGGAAGAGGGACCAAGGAAGCACTACCTAGCCCTTTTTTTTTTCCTTTCCTCCGGACTTGGAAAAAAGTATCTTTATATATTTTCTGCGGAGATCGAACATCGCTAGATATTGCGCATGCTGATACGGGATTGTTTGTCTGAACGTCAGGTTCTACAAAGACCATGGAATCTATTCTGGCTTTGGCGGGATTGCCTTTGTAAGTGTTTCCGCTTTTGGCTGCCTCGATCCGAGAGGAAGAAAGCTTCCATCCTACCCATGTCTACGGTGGTGTCTGTCCAGATCGGACCGCTAACGACGTCTCCCCCCTCTCCTGGCGAACAGAAAGCCGACGAGGGCCACCACATCGCGGCGGCGCTGGGCAACACCAAGGGCGTCATCCTCCAGAACCACGGCCACCTGACGGTGGCCAAGACGGTCGACGGCGCCGCGTTCCTCTTCGGCGCCATGGACCGCTGCATCCAGGCGCAGCTGCTCGCCGACGCGGCCTGCGCGGGCCGCGGCACAAAGACCATCAAGGTCGCGCACGAAGAGGCAGAGTACTCGCGAAACGTGTACAACGACGAGATGGTGTATATCATGTTTCAGTCGGCGTGAGTTCTCCACGTTCTCCCTACTGCTATCCATGTCAGGAACGAACCCATGAACGAATTTGGCTAATTTCAATCTCCTTTTATTTGCCACTATACAGATTCGAAGATGTGATCAGAGCGTCGAGTGGAGAATTGCCTATGCACGTGCAGGGCGAACTGCCCCGGGACTGAAGGACTGGCTGACTGACTGACTGATCAAACGTATGGTATGAGCGTTCTGTGAGGTTTCTTTTCTCATTTCTTGTGATGGGGCGACATGTTGGATGGTTCGTCCAGTGTTCTTGGGGCATTCCATAGATAATTGTGTGCAGCGACCAAAATTGACCAGGATCTATTTATTGCATCAAGTTCAGCATTCCAGATTCCTTGCTTCGCTTGATGTACGGATGCCTTGCGTTACCCTTTTCTCTGCGCAATGCCGTGACAACGAGAGCGAATGGCCGGACGGCTGACCATCACCAAGCCAAAGCCAACGGAATAGGAGGTCGAGGTTACAATTCACTTTGAGCTTGCCGCCACCGCCGAGGCCACATTGCTAGCGAGCACGTCCCAGTTGCCGTCAAAACGCGCTGAACTGTCATCAAGTGACATTGCCATCGCACACAGATCTGCCGCATCGAGGACTGTCTCACCCTGCCCTGCAAGTGGCGAGAATGCAGCGGTCGCGTCAGGAGCGGAACCCAGCGTATTTGCAGAGGCGCCGAGACTAAAGCACGGGCCTCCCTTGGTGCCTCGCGTAAAGGTGATGTCTCCGAAACAGGGGATGGTCATCTTAATGTGATTTCCGCAGTCTTCGCTACCGTCGGACTCGGATTGAGGGCGTAAATCGATGTGTTCGCCCACGTTGCCTCGCGCATCGAACAGCACGTCCAGAATTGCCACGGCCTGCGTAGCCACAATACTCTTGTGATTGTCTGTCGATTCCGCTCGAAGGATCTCTGCAATGTCGGTGACGGATTTCCAGTCGCGTTCATCCTGTCCTCTAGAAGTATGGGATCCACCGTTTGATTCTGAGTTATTTCCGGTCGTCTGGCTCAGTAAATGTAGGGTCAGCAGCACGGATAGTGTGAATGCCTGAAAATCGAGCATTGCGCATAAATATCGGTCGAGTCGCAAGCCGACGCGGAGGTATTTGTACGCGACCAGAGCATGACGCGATGATTTGAGAGAGGCGCCGTATGAAAACTCAAACGCGCCCTTGTCTTGTTTGCCGATACATTTCAGCATCAGCGGTAAGTGTAGTAGTGCTTGAATGAAGTTCATAAGAAAGTGCGCTTCGATACGCTCAAATGCCTCCCGTGTCGGCGGGTCGGAAGATCTTGGGTCAACATCCCACTGAACTGTGTTCATGTTGTCCATGACCTCCTTCAACTCCTGATCTATCTTCAGCGTCCGGAGAAAGAGAACAGAGTCGTCGAGCGGCTCCTGGTTCCGATCGATAATCTGGCCGATGATTGAGCTCATGGCGGCATAAAAGAATGTCGCTTGTGGTGAAGTGCTCTGCATGGTCTTGACATTTCCCACTCGTAAGTCAGGGTATGGATGTCGCACTCCATAAGGCAGCCTGAGGATCATACTGATATATCGATCCAGGAAACAGACCGCTTCCCATACTTCAATTTGTCGACCAAGGGATTGACCTGGTGTGATCGGACTTTGTTTGATAGAGGCGGCGCGGTTAAGGCCAATGCTGATGGCGTATTCGAGTGCTCGCCGAGATAGATGCCAGGCTTTCTGCAGTCGGCCGTGGTTGCAGTGGTAGCGTGCCAAAAGTACCAAGCATTCTATACCGGGTAATGTTGTTGTGATATCGTCCTGGAAGACCACTGCTCGGTTAATGGCAGGGATAATTCGACTTTCCAAAGTAGCCAGAGCTCCAGGATCTCGGAAAGTGCCACCTTGAAAGACCTCTTCACTCAGCCTCTCGGCACTGATCAAGGCCCAGAGGAGGACTTTGGCGGTCTCGGCGGGATTGGCAAGACTTAATTTGCGGTTAAGCACCGATCTCCAGTTTTCAGCAGTCGTCTCTTCGCGGTCGAATAGCTCTGGAAATCTGTGAGGAGCCGAGTTCCACCAGTCTTCGCTCAGACTGATCAGGGTGTCGAAGTCTGGATCATGAGGCAGGAGCAGCAGAAGCTCGTATCGACCAGGATGGAAAGCTGGTGGCTCTGTCCTAGCCACTGGCTGGGCAAGTGAAGAGTGCGTCGTATGGTATGCTTGTGTGATAATATCATTGTCGAATAAACTCAGGAAAGGGTTCGAGGCGGAAGGGACGCTGGCGGATGCGGGTGTCCCTCCATCTGTTCTTGAGTCTATTATACATTGTCAATTGATATTGGCTGGAGTTAGGTATGCATTATGCCTCAATTACCGGTATACGCGGAATGATTGTCGAGTGTGTTGTGACTTTGCCCATTGTTCGACGACTTGAAACTAGATTCATTGTTCAGATAGTTTTGGACAAAATCCTCCAGACGAGCAACTCGTTCCCGCAGACTGTATTTCGCTTCTTCGCTACTCCCATCTGCTTTGGTTGATGCAGTATTGATGACAGACGTCGCCTTGGGGCTTTGACTTTGGGCCACGCAAGGTGTGCCACGAGCATAGCATTCCTCACACCTCGACCGACTTCCGTCACGATAGGTGCATTTAGTCTTTCGACGTCGACCTGTTGAGGGGCCTCAGATCAGCCGTCTCAGCCAGAAGTTGACTGGTCTTGCTCTTTGCTGAGTGCGGATATTCGATAACACCGAGCCACCGACTTGGAAAGGCAGTCTTACATTCATGACAGCTCTTAGTGCCCTTCCGCATGTTCAAATGAGCCACTCTTTGTCGCAAGCCAGATCTGGCGTTAGTTGCATTCATTCTGGACTCAAGCATTTCGCACGCCGGGATCTATTATCCGCAGTTCGACACTGTTCCGCTTGTCTGTTGTGGTACATCGAGGACTGCATGGCCTCAAAGCAAAACTGTCTATGCGTAGAGAATTTTCAAACCATTAATATGGCCATAGCAAGAGTTTTGCACGTTTCCATCGAACAAGGGCACAACATTATCACGAATCGTAAAGTAGTTGTGTACCTCCGGTTTTTCGTCCGATAAAGGCGAGGCCTTTACTCAGCCTTATCAGACCCAGAGTATTACTAATCGTCCCATATCATTTTTGTAGCGAAACCCATGCCGGTGCAGGAGATCCTGGCACCTCATGATGCTGTGGGTGAAGGCAGAGGTCCTTTCTCAGGTATTTCCTTGTGATATTTCTGAAGGATTGTAAAGTGAATCAAGTTGTCATAACCGCAAAGCGATAGTAAAGACCGGCGTGATTAGCAACTCGAATACGCCAAGACATTAGCGTTCCGGAAGACTTTCCCATCTAGTTTGCATCCACGTGTTCTGCTAACAAGTTCACCATCTCATCAAGCTTCGAAGTTGCTTTCTATACCATAGCGCCTTATCTAACCACCTAATATCAATGCTCATTCGAGCTCCAACAGCCTCTTCGCTGTATCAACAACAGTCTGCTCGAGCGGTCTATAAATCCCCCCTCCGAACAATTGTTTGGCTTCGGAGTCGTCCACCTTGAGTGGGTGATGCTCGTCCTGCTCACCATTCGCCACGATTGCTGCGGCTCGCACCGATGGAAGTCGATTGACCAGTTGTGGAAACTTGTCGGCCAAGATCCCCAATACTGTCTTCGCAAGGAATGGTTCTGGGCTTGCCACCAACAAACGTCTATTCTCGCTTCCACCCTTGATGATTGATTGAACATGTAGCGCAGCGGCGTCACGAACGTCGATATATCCGATATACAGTGGCCGCGAAGACCCGTCGACTGTGCCCGAGACAGGTTTCAAGAATGTCTGGTAAAAGAGGTCCGCGCTCATGTTGAAGCGACTCTTGCCAGTTGCATTCTGATGTAGGTGCTGCAATGGTGGCCCGATGATCAACGGTCTTTGTTGGATTAACACATGACGACCATAACCTGAAGACCCAGACTTACACCGAAAGTACCGACACGCCAAACGCTGGTTTCTCTTTCTTGACAAAGTCCCAAAGAGCCTTTTCCGCTAAAGTTTTGGAGATCATGTAACTGGCGCCTGGGTGCTGCAATTGGCGAGCGACCTCAGGACTCACCTATGACCGTCCCACTGTGCGTCAGCCCTGCCATTAGTCTTCGAACTTCGACTTGCAACATACCGGGTTCCAATCTGTACTTTTTAGTACACGCCCATCCAATGGCTTTGTTACATCGTGCACAGCCACCATGCTACCAGTATAGGTAAAATGCTTGAGAGATTTACAATACTTCTGAGCTGCGTGCAGCAGTTCGAGGTTGCTAACGCAAATCAGCAAAAGACGTGAGGTTGCCATTGGGAGGAAAGGGAAGGTCACCCCTGAGCACCAGGCCCCAAGAAATCCCGGTCAAAATCTGTCCCATCACCATCAGGCACCGGTGCTGCCGTGTGGATGATGTAGTCAAAATGCCCTCGCTCAAAGACTTTATCATAGGCGCCAGGAGCTGATATATCTGACACCACAGCTAGGCGGAGTCTCGATTTGAACTCAGGATGAGCATCAAACACGTCGTCAGCTTTGGCCTCGGAGCGAACTGTGCCAACCACGTCGAATGCGTCCTGTGGGATGTTAGAACACGAGCTCGGGAACATTGGTGACCCTTGGTCGACACTCACTTCCACAAGACATTTGAGGACATGTGTGGCTAAAAAGCCATTGGCCCCCGTGAGAAGGACACTAGGCATGCTTGCGGACAATCGAAGATGCAATGTACTTGCCAGGTTCGAGTTGATGATCATCCGAGCACTGAAGGTTGACCATGCTTTATAGGGGATGTCTTCTTCCTCAACAGCTCCTCTGTATTTGCATCAGGAACCACGGAAACACACCTTCCAGCGGACACGAAACTCAATTGACCCATAATTTTTGCGAGTACTAAGATACTATGCTGCTTTCTGGCTTCAGTAATCCATCATCCAGGACGAAATCCCGGAGAGTCAACGCCTGTATTGGTAACATGCGGTTTAGTAATTCAAGTATGGAAATACTAAACCCGAGAATACGTCTGGCCCTCCTACTTCCACGGCAGATACGACGCTAGTATGGCTAATTCATTTCTATGTTTGTATGTTCTGTAAACCGCCATGGCTACTTACACGCTGACGGTGACTAGGTAAGCTAATGATGGCATAATGTTGGAATATCCACGGAACATTCTCTGAAAGCCTTACAGTCTTTTTAGCACTACGTTGAAGACTCCATGGTGGATTTTGGTTTTACAAAGCGGTGTTTCATTGCTGCCAGCAATCAGGGCGTCGGCCAGGGTATGAAAGGCCAAACCTATGGCTTGCCTCAACTTGCCGACACTCAGCCGCACTGATCGAGTCAGGGATCCTCTCCTCGAGCCCAGGCAAGCATTACGAGTCCCCCACAACTGCCGGTTACCCATCGTCATCTTATTTCTGGCAATGCAAGCAACCCTCGTCTCAGCCCTGATCAATTTCGACAACTGGGTTCATGAGCGCGTTGCACTCGAGTACGTCTCCATTCATCTACGCTATGCAGACCGACCCACCAATCCTTTTACTGCACGGGAGGCCGCATTTCAACCTCACACGGCGGATCAGCGGACCCACCCTAGCAGACAACAACTATGCTATCATAGCAGTCGATAGCCGCGGGACCGGAGACTCATCAATCCCCGCCATCCGGGCACTATACTGCAACGGCTTCCGCGGCCGACACCAAGGCTGTTCTCGACTTTCTAACATCAATTCTTTCCTACGTTGTGGGCCACGACTTCGGCTCCACCAAAAAAAGGCAGATGCTCTAGCTGTTCTTCTACCACGGCAGCTACTCCGGCATGACGAGCTTCCCCGAAGAGCTCGTCGAGAGATACGCCAGTTCCATCTCCAAGCCTTGGCCACATTGTTAGGGAACTTAGCCGTTTACCACAGTGAGTAGCCATCCCCACGTTATTTGGACCACCCCGGCCGACGTCAGTTGCACGCAGCTCACGCATTGGCACCCCGATCTTGGCTGTCGTAGCCGGCAATTGAAGCCCCAGAAGTTGTGCAACCCCCCCGGAATTCCCCCGCGTCCCCATATTTCTGCTTCATCTTCCTCCAGCACGGGTAGTTTTCGCGGCTCAAACACCCTTCAGCATCACATTTTGTGCGGAAAAGTGAAGGAACCGCTCGCAAGGCGAAGTCTACCAGAGGCCTTCACGCGACGATGCCACCTGAGCCGCCCTTGTCGTGCCCAGTTTGCTACAAGGTGTACAGCCGGGCAGACCATCTAACTCGCCATTTGAATTCACACAATACTCACAGACCACATATCTGCCCCAGTTGCGGAAAGGCCTATAGACGGCAGGATGTATTACGACGGCACCAAGCAAAATGTCAAGATCAAGATGGAGCTCGATCTCTGTATCGGGAAAAAGTGCAAAAACGTCGAGCATGTGATGAATGCGCGTCCAAAAAGCGTGCATGCGATGGCGGTCAACCCTGTATCAGCTGCAAAGATAGGGGTTATACATGCACTTATTCCTGGAAGACTGTCGGTGACGGGGCCATGACTCAAGCCAGCGTGCAATCATCGACGTGGAAGGCCCCTGATGAGGACCAGCTTTGGGACTATCTCGATATCGACCTCGACGAGGACGCAATACCGTTCCTGCCCTCCGCCTATTCTCTCTCTGCTTCAGACAGCAATCACTTAGGTTTTGAGTTGGGTTCCCCATCAACGATTCCTTCTTCTCTTTCGTCTTCTCTTTGTGTCTATCTACGGGTCCCCGATCAGGATCCAGTACAATCTTTTGAATTTCTGATCCGGTTTACCAGCCCCAAAGTCTATGGCATCGCAGCTAAATTCAATGGCACCACCAGAACACATGAGCCAAGGGGCCTCACCTTGGGTCCCAAGGACTACACCCAGTACATTTGTCGCCAACTTCCAAACTCTATGCCCGGCGAATACTCTGAACTCTTTGCTTCAGGTCTTTCCTGTAGCCCCATGCCAGTCTTGGAAGAAGCTGGGCGAGCCAATTGGTCCTCAGATAGTCTGGAGTTTTGCCCCGTTTTAGCGGGCGGGTACCCGGAAGACCAGAGCAACTTCAACATGGTGGCGGCCTTCCACGGTTCCAATGCCCGTGATGGAATTCGAGGGGCCTTCTCAAGCACGCCAGACGTCTATATAGACCCTCTTGCCTTGAAAAGCCATGAGATACTGTTGGGAATTCAAGAAGTAGCCATGTCCCAGGCTGGTTGTCTCCGAGGAAATCGCCAGGGGTGGTCGCCAATTCTGGAGCAAACATGCATCCAATTCTTCCATCCTGCACGGTTGCGCCGATACTTGGATCACTTCTGGACTCACTGGTACCCCCACTGGGTGACTATTCACAAACCCTCCTTTAGTGCAATGGACGCCCCTCGATCTCTGGTGGCTGCCATGGCTCTAATTGGGGCATGCGCTTCGCCGGAGGAGAGTGATCGAGAAGATGCCCAATTTTGGCGCAACCATGTTGAAGAAATGGTGTTCGTTGACATGTCGAGCACCCCCGATTTTGTCACGTCCGATGTCACTCTCTCGACTGATGGGGTGAGGGCTCAGCTTCGATCTCTCCAGGCTGCTTTTGTGGTCTGCATGTATCAGATATGGGAAGGTCGCAACTTCGATGCGAAGAGAATCCGACACGAGAGGTATGGGACGGTCGTGACCATGGCGAGAGCGCTAATGCCCTACGCAAAACACATAGGACTTGACAAGGTCACACCCGAAAGCTTCCACTGGCAGCACTTTGCCCTGATTGAACAGGTCATCCGGACTGTGATATATGTCTTCTTGGTCGACACCTACTTCGTCATCTTTCACAGCCTGCCTCCTCAAATGAGCATACAAGAGTTGAAAATGGATCTCGCCTCGCCCGAAGAGTGTTTCCAGGCTCCAGATGCCAGCAGCTGCTTTTACCATCTCCGGCCATGGGCTTCGCTCCCGCTCTGCCGAGACGGGTTCATCCTCTATGGAGCCATCAAGTGCCTTCGAAAAAGAGACATGGACGACAAAGTATTTCTCCACCTCGCGGGGGCTGGCCCCCTCAACCTCTGGGTGCTGTGTTCGGCATTGCACGTTCTCATTTTCAACATTGAACCCGCCTTTGGCCACAAGTCCCAGTTCCTGGCCCACGACAATGCACTGACCAATTGGCGGCGAGTCTGGAATCAGCACCTTTTCCAGAAGCCAGGCGAAACCTCAGTATCCGATGTCGACAACCGAGACGCATGTCAGCTGTGGACTCGGCCCGGACTTATGAGATATGCCCCCGAATGGTGGCTGTTGGCTCGGCACATCCTGCAACGCATGAAGTCTTGTCAGGCTGATCTAGAAGCCTCCGAGGATGTGTCCGGTCCTGGCAGCTGGCGTTCAAATCTTGGGCCTTCAATCATCCAGAGCAGGGATACCTTCGACACCACGGAGGTCCACCGTTTCATCTGCCGGTGCCCAACGCTTGCGAGCAACGCTGAGGCGCGGAACCATGCCTGACCATTCACCTGCGGACGTTTGTCATTCTGGTCACCAATATCTGAAGCGAGAAACAAAGTTAAGCCCATGGTTTGGACAGGGCCAATGATGGACTGTGTCGCAGATGGAATGAATTCCTGATTCCTAATTCCCCCACAAACTTGCCCCGAGGACCCCAGTCCCCCACAATCATCTCCGACCAGTGATATCAGCGAGATCTCAAAGCCTTCACCGGGTCAAGTCTGTGTTATTGTTGTTGCACGTTCCGAGAGTCCGGGAAAGTGTTGAAGTTGAACACTTCTCAGAGTCTATATATGGACTGGCCGGATACCCTGTCTGACCTGTGCGACTCCCAGACTTTTCCTCACAGTATCTGAACCTTGTGAATAGCAAGCAACAACCGAAACATGAACGAAAGTCGACCCACAAATGGGCATGTGAATGGGGACCTCGCCGACCGAGCGTCTGCTCCCACCATGTCACCCAACACAGATATCGACGGACTCTATGGCCTGACTTCCAAGTGGCCGGTTGCGTATGATCTCGCCGGGTCCAGCGCACCGTGCCGACTCGAAGGCGAGATCGGAGATCTGATCGTGTTTGGGAATATTCCCCAAGAGATCGACGGTACCTTCTATCGAGTCATGTGCGACCCATTTGTCCCGCCCCATCCAGGCAATGTGCCCATCGACGGCGATGGCCACGTCTCGGCTTTTCGTTTCCATCAGGGCAGATGTGATTTCAAGATGCGCTACGTCGAGACCGAACGATACAAGCTGGAGAGAAAAGCGAACAAAGCCCTCTTTGGTCTCTACCGCAATCCTTTTACCCACCACCCCTGCGTGCGGGCGGCCGTGGACTCCACCGCAAACACCAATCTGGTCCACTGGGCGGGTCGGCTGTTGGCCCTCAAAGAAGTGGCACTGCCCTACGCCGTGGACCCGGACACCCTGGAGACACTCGAGTATGATCCGTTCAAGGGCCAGGTGAAGTCCAAGACCTTCACGGCGCACCCAAAGGTGGATCCGCTGACACACGAGCTGGTGGTGTTCGGCTATGAGGCCAAAGGTTTGGGGACCAAGGACGTCGTCACCTACGCCTTGGACCGGACTGGGAAGAAGACGAATGAGCTGTGGCTCCAGGCTCCGTGGTGTGCCTTCATCCACGATTGCGCCATCACCCCGAATTGGATTGTGCTGTTCTTGTGGCCGTTTGAGGCCGATGTGACACGCATGAAGCGAGGCAAGCAGCATTGGGCCTGGGACTACGACCTTCCCGCGACCTTCATCGTCGCCCCGAGGCACGACGACAGCGGCGCCCGGTTCGGGTGGAAGAAAGGCGAGTACCGCACGTACAAATGGAAGAACTGCATGGCCATCCACACTGCGGCGGCGTGGGAGACGCCAGACGGCCACGTCTGCGTCGAGAGCTCGCGCGTGCACGACAATGCCTTCCCCTTCTTTCCCCCGGAAGATGGACGCATGCCGGACCCGCAGACCAAGGCCGACTTTGTCCGCTGGGAGTTCGATCTCTCCCGACCCGACGGTGCGACGGTGCCGGACCCGCTGGTCGTCCTGGACCTGCCCTCGGAGTTTCCCCGCATCGACGAGAGATTCATGACCCAGCCGTACACGGTGGTGTTTTTGAACGTCTTCGTCCCGACGAACATGGACGGGTCGCGGAACATCTTCCACGGGCTCAACGGCCTGGCCATGCACAACAACAAGACCGGCCAGACGCGGTACTTCTACGCCGGCGAGGACTCGCTGTGCCAGGAGCCCATCTTCATCCCGCGCTCGGCCGACGCCCCGGAGGCCGACGGCTGGGTCATGTGCCTGGTGGAGAGGCGGGGCGCGGGACGCTGCGACGTGGTGATTCTGGACACGGCCGCCTTCGAGACGCCCATCGCCGTGGTCCAGCTCCCTTTCCACGTCAAGGCCCAGATCCACGGCAACTGGGTCGACGCTTCGGCCCTCGCGCCGCGGAAGAGTCTGGTCCGCGAGATCCCCCCCTTCCAGATCAGCGGCCAGGGTGCTCTGGAGCCGCTGATCTAACGGTTCCAGGGTGGGACTGCGTTTCATGGGGACTGAAAGAGAGAGGATGTATACAAGAATCCTTTGTCCTATCCTGCGTTGAGTGGGTTTATCAATAGGACAAGAATCCTGTGTCTTCTCCCAAGCGTCGAGTTTCATTGTCAATAGGATGCACACGTACATTCAGATAGGGCAAGCCAGCCATTTTTGCAACCAACCAACCATCAGTGCCTACTGCGCCGCCCTGTGTGGCGAAAGTTCTGATACCCTTGATTCTCTCTCTCTCTCCGGACGGGCATATATGATGTGTATGTGTATGTGGAGGAGAGTAGGAGAGTAGGAGAGTAGTCGTTTTCTACCCCTATTCTTAAAAGTAAGCTATGTTATATATCAATAGCCTCGATAGACAGACGGAAAGAAAGTGAACATGTTGCCCGGCACCGGCACAGGCGACGAGATACATCTCTCTCTCTCTCTCTCTCTCTCTCTCTCGGAGAACATTGGTACGAAGGAGAGCGAGAGCAGAGCCAGAGCGAGAGCGAGAGATATGTACGTATATAGCACATGTAGAGGTAGACGGGTAGACAGATAGACAGGTACGTACAGCTACATTTGTTGGGAATGTTGCGTGAACCTTGATTGATAAGTATCGCTTTCTTGGTATTCTTTGATATCTATCTGTATATCTGGCGTGGGGTGGGATTTATATGAGTAGGTGTTGTTACAAAATGTCTCGAGTCGGTACGACGGCCAAACTGCGCCACGATGCCAGCAACGAAAGCCGGCGGACACCAGGGGTGGTCTCGATTGCGACGGCTTACAATCAAAGATGCCTTAGTGATCGGGAGAAAGTTCAACATTCGGAGGTCGCTCAGGGACGCGAACAATTCTTCGGCATATAGATGGATGTATCCTCCAAGAATATGTTGTCGAGCTCATCGTGAAGTCCGCTCGTGTGACGATATTCTTCCCGCATAGTGCGTAGCGTAGAGTCAGCGAGGGCCAATCTTCTCCAGGCCGCCCATGTACCTCCTCAGAACTTGCGGGATAACCACGCAGCCCTGGTCCTCGCGCCAACCGTTCTCCAAGAGCGCGGCGAGGACTCTCGGGATTGCAATGGCCGTCCCGTTGACGGTGTGCGCAAACTTCTTCCTCGACCCATCTCCCTCCAGGACCCTCGTGTCGAGTCTGCGGCTCTGGTAGTCGGTGCAGATGGACGCCGAAGTGACTTCGCCCCAGCCCTCGTCTTTCTTCCTCCTCGACGGAAACATGGCCTCGATGTCGATCTTGCGGTACGCGCTCGCACCCAGGTCTGACGTGGGCATCTCGAGCACTCGGCAGGGTATGCCGAGCGAAGACAGAATCTCCGTCTGTATTTCCACCATCTCGTTCAGAAGGCGCCCGGAATGCTCCACCCACGCCGATTCGTCCGTCAAGCCTCCACCGCTGCTGCTTGGTGGTGGGCAGTCGGTCCACGCGAACATTTCGACCTTTGTGAATTCGTGCACCCGGTACAGACCCTTGGTGTCGACCCCGCGAGCACCCGCCTCGGCGCGGAAACAGCGGCTGGACCCCACGAGCTTGAGAGGTAGGCGTGCCGCGGGAATCGCCTTGCCGGCATACATTCCTGCGAGGGGGATCTCGGCCGTTGCCGCGAGACTGCGGGTTGGTTTTCCGGCATCCTTTTCCGGCTGCGCTATCTGCCAGATCTGTTGTTCGTCGTTTTGGTCCCGGGGCTGGAATCCGCAGGCGGCGGCCATGTGGGAGTAGACCAGGGACGGCGGAGAGACAACGGACCAGCCGCGCCGCATGGCAACAGACAGGGCGTACTGGACCAGCGCGTGTTCCAACAGGGCCGCCTCGTTCAGCAAGAAGTAAAACCCCCAACCAGATGTCATGGATGACGATGAGAAATCAAGGAGACCCAGCTTCTCGCCGATGATCGAGTGGTCGGCCGACGGGCCATACTGCGGAGGCTTGTCCGGGTCATAGTTGATGTAGGACCGCAACCGTGGTTCACCGCCGGTGGGTGTGTCCGAATACGTCAAGTTCGGCAGGGACAGTGCAATATTGCGCGTCTCGAGCTCGAGTGCATCGTGCTCAGCTTGGAGAGCGTCGACTTCCGGCCTGAGAGATTTCATCTGCGCCACGATATCCGCCTTGCTGCTCTCTTTCGCCGCGTTGTTCAGTTGCCTCTGCAGCTCCTTCAACGTGTGACGGGACCCGGCCATGCGCTGGTCCAGGTCCCTCATCTTTCTGACATTGTCCGCCACCCGGCGCGGGATGTCCTCGTGGCTGCCATAGTTTCGCACCCGGCAGTTTTGTTCGTAGAGCTCGACGTTGTCTCGGATCTGGGTGAGAGGAGGGAATTGTCGCGGCGCGGTCGCCGGGCGGAATTCTTGGTAGAGCGGTCTCGTGGTGCAGTATGCCCTTCTGCATCGGAGCAGGAACGCCTTCGCCTCGAGTGCTTTCCTCGACATGAAAGCTGCTGCAGAAAGTGGGCGGTACAGCAAGGTCTTTGTTACTGCGCCAATCCGACAACGCGGTTGGACGCGCTTCGAGAAAGAAAAAAAAGTTTGCCAATTGAAATCGGCAGAATGTGGAGTGACCATTCCTGGTTTCTTAATCGGGAATAGTCGGTTGTTATTATGTAAGGAGGTACAGCCTCGCGATATACTTGTCTCAGATAAATCAGACCCTTACCTCATGTAGCCTAGCGGCTATTAGCGTGAACGCTAACCTTTTGCGGAGCAAAAGGCCTTCGCAGAAGGGTCTGAGCACGGATACGTGTAAACAGCCGATCG